CGCAAAGCAGAGTTCCTTAATTCCCGACAACTCGTAACTACCCATAGGCCCCAAAGTAGTTCCTTCTGGGGATTACCTTATAGGATTCAAAATAGCAACCCCCAAAAAGGAACTACTTTGGGGCCTTTAGGTACAACTCTAAGTAAACCCCAAAGCTCCAGTCAGGGAATATTCCTTAAATCATATTAGGGATCCTATTATAATTTAAGGTATATACCTTTATTCAGGGATATTGGAGTCTCTGGGATTAAAATCCGAAGCTCCAGTCCTGCAGCGTCTCCATAATGCACGGGAACTCTCTACGGTCGAGGCAAACCTTGTGAGAGAGGCAGTTCTTCGAGCTGCTGTCCTGAAGAAGGCGCAGGGGAAGGGCTTTAGAGAGTTTTTTTTTTTTTTATGGGCCCTTTTCGAGCTGCAGAGCAGCTTTAGAGAGTTTAGGGTTTAGAGTTTCGGTCTCATAGTCTCGGATTCAGAGTTCAGGGCTTAGAGTCTAGCATACTTTAGAGGCAGCGAAAGAATTAGAATCAGGCTTAAAAAGTACGGAGGATCTAACTGGGAGGCTTCTTCGTCAGAGGGCACTAGGAAGTTCCTGCAGGCTTTGCGCATGGCACTCTGCAATATTGAATCGCGCAGGGCTCGGGATTCTGGGATTTCGAAACGCACCACTTGTGAGCTTGTAATGTAGTGGGTTTTGTAGATGGGGCCAGCTACATCGTGAGGTCAACGCATTCAATACAGCTGATGTGGTCGCCATTTCCGCCGGTGGTGACAAGGGTCATTTCTGTGGACTTCTGCCGGAGAGTTGGAATCGCACCTCAACGTGGTAGTTTTCCCAGACCAAAAACCGGCTTTGCTCGATGCGTTCGACACTTCACCGCCCACCTAAGTTCGCGTTAGCTGAAGATCCTCTATCCAAAAGCCTCCTAAAAGGCCCTAAATCCTGAATCCAAAGCCAGGGCTCACAGCGGGCTGCCCACCAGTCGTAATAGTTGGTGCCTGAGCTTTGTCGGGCTTACGCCTTTGAAGTTTCCCCAAACCCTAACTAGAACTCCAAAGCCACGCTCCCACACCCAACCCTAAACCCTAACCCCTTCAAATCCGCGCCGGGGTGCTGGAGAAAGCCACGGCGTCCCATTGATCCTGCTCAAGATCGAGGCTCAGCCCTTTAAAGTAAAAGCCAGAAAGTTGGAATATGATTATCCTAAGCCCTTTATGGTAAATTATAGGGTATCCTACCCTGAAACCATATTCCAACTTTCTGGAGTTCCCTTTACATAGCTCTAAGGCCGAGCTCCGTAAACCCCAAACCCCACAACCTTAGGCATCAAGTCGGAAGGAGGAACACATCAAGGACAACCCTGAAACTTAGATTCTGGGCTTTGCTTGTCTTGAAGGCCCTCTTTCGTCTGCTTGTGGGTCTCAGGGTTGAGGGTTGAAGTGGGAGTTTCCGAAAATGGGGGACCCTAATATGGTACCCTAAATAGCAGGCTTATTGTAATGACCCCCCCCGAATGCTGTGACCTGCACAGGTTTTGAACACGAAAATTACGGGGGTTTAAGGTTTAGGGTCTATGAAAAAGACGTGAAAGGAGCTTACACATCATCCCAAATCGATAAAGCGCAAAGCCGAATCTGCCTCCTTGCGGAGGCTAGTGGACAATGGGTTTTGGAGTTAAGGTTTCAAACGATTTCGAAGATTCGCCGGAACTCTGTTCATCTACCTTCCTGGGAGCTGCGATCCACCAAGCCCTACATGCGCAAACTGTAGCTTAGGACTTCAGCATGTAGGGCCTGGGCTAGGGTTTAGCGCCAGTACTTCTATGTCTATGTCCAAGCCCGAAGCCCCGAAAGTTCAATCCTCAAATCCTAAACTCCAAACCTCAAAAACTCATATTTTTGTGGCTCCTCTTTGTCAAGAGCATTCAGCACCACGCCGAAGGTCTGGTCGTCCCACTTCACCGTGTTGTCCAAGTCGGCCACGACGAGGTAGTCCCACTGCTTCCTTGGTGAATTCTGTAAAATGTCTACTACTTTCTCTTCTGGTTTGATATGGGGATTAAAACTTTCTTTATTGGTTGTACAAGGGGTTCATAAGGGTTAGGCAAGGGCTGTATAAAGGGTCTATGGCAGAGACTATGGGGCCTTATTTTGGGTTGTGCAGGGGGATCCAGAATCGGTTTATAAGGGCTCCGTCAGTATCAGGGTTCTATGAGGTTCTATGGGGGCTTCTTGTTTGCGTTCTAGGTTACAGGGTTCCCATAACTGCTTTATCAAGATTATATAGGGCTTCCAGTCTCTCCAAGCGTGTGCCGTTCTAGTGTCCTTTCCATGGGCTAATCAAACAAGGGCGTAGTTTGTTGAAGAACGTCCGAAAACACAGCCGTTGCCCACGGTGCAGTGATGTCAGTCAGTCGTCGGGGTTTTTGACGTTACCTGAGAACTGAGAATGACAGCCCTAGGTGCAAAAGTCACTGTCTTAGGTCTTGAAACTACGAACCATACGTGCAAAACTTAAAACCCTTGTAACCATGTGATGCCTCCTCCTCCTCCTCCTACTACTGCTACCACCACTGCTACCACTGCTACTACTACTAACTACTCCTGCTACTGCTACTGCTACTGCTACTGCTACTACTACTACTACTACTACTACTACTACTACTACTACTACTACTACTACTAGTACTACTACTACTGCTGCAACTACTACTACTACTACTACTACTACTACTACTACTACTACTACTACTACTACTACTACTACTACTACTACTGCTTCCTGCTTACTGTTGCTACTACTGCTACTACTGCTACTACGGCTACTGCTGCTACTATGGCTATCACTACCACTGCTAAAACTGCTTCTGCTGCTACTTCTACGACTGCAACGCTTACTGGTCTTCTGCTGCCTGCACAACTAGCACAAGCGCGGTCTCTTCCCGCTGCCTGAAATTCTGAAGATCATGTTCCTCTTCATGGAAGCTCCTTGCAGAACCCCCGCCCCCCCTAACGTAGGGCGCAGGGCTCCGGTTGTTGAACCCGAGACCTGCGCAAACCCAAACCCCTAGACTCACCATGTCTACTCTTGAGGTGAGACAAAGTGCTCGTTACCCTCATTTCTGACACGAAAATCCCCACCCCCCGCTCAATGCTAAACTCGCAACCCAAAGCCCGAAACCCCAAACCCTGACTCGAAACCCCAAGCCCCAACCCTAAACCCTAGCAGAAAGGTCTTCCGTGCCAGGTTATTCTCCTTAGAGGCTAAGTATCCTGAAAAGGTTAACCTTTCAATTATGGTAATAGGGGCACATAGGGGCTAAGTATCCTGAAAAGGTTAACCTTTCAAGTATGGTAATAGGCGTACATAATGCTCAGAAGGTTAGAGGTTACCTACTCACCTACTAAGTAACAGGGGAGGCAAGGGAGTTGTGGAGCAAGCGGCTCAAGCACGTGATCCAGAAGGGCATTCCGGAAGCCCGCAAGCATGTACGGCCTGCTTCCCAGGAACAAATCAGCAACAGCCAATGCACAAATGAACGTGGGCATTCGTTGAGGATTCTACCAATGTGGCAACCTCCACACACACACACACTCACACTCATGCACATGTATAAGTAATTATATGAAAAAGTGCACAAATCTCTATCTATCTATATATATATACACATATGTATACATATACACACATCCATATAGATATGGATGTACATATAGGTATTTACGGTATAGTCATACATACAAAACAGATATAGACACAGATCCAGATATGGATCTAGATACAGCCTGAATCAGACAATATGGGTAAATGTACGGGAATAGGTATAGACTGAGATGTACCTACACATATGTGATACGTTGTGATACAGCTGTAGTTACATATGCAGATAGGGTGACGTGTGTAACGAGCACAGTTGGCGTAAACGTCTTATGCTTCCGTACTCGCTTAGGATGACTTGGGTCGGGATAGCCACCCTGCGGCCACTTAAGCGTGAAACTTTATGGCACCGGGTTCCAAAAAGAAAAGGACTCCTGCTTGGAATCACAAGACGCGTCCCTCTGGTATGCTAAGGCACCCCCTGAACCCCAAACCTTTAAACCCTGCAAGCCCTCAACCCTAATGCCTGAAGCGCAAGTTTGTCATAAAAAGCCCATTCGTGGAGCTTCTGTGTTCGCCTTGGGCCCTCGTGTGGCACGTCGCCGGGGTCTCTGACCTGGGCAACACTCTTAGGCTTAGGGATTAGGGTTTAGGGTCTAAGGTACCGCGCAGGGTACTTGGAGGAGAAGCATAAGACCCTAAGGGCTCTCTTTTCTTTCGTGAGCTTGAAAGGCGGCTTTCCGAATTCCGTGTTTTCGCGTCTTGTAGGCTTTTGGGATTAAGGTCTTAGGATTTCAGAGTCTAGGTTGTTACAGTTTAATTAGGGTTCACGTTTTCGCATTCTTCGAGACACCTAGTTGGTATCATGTGCAGCAAGCTTCAGGACGGTGAGTCTAGGGTTTTTCAACAATGCGATGAGATACGGGATTTAGGATGCTTTCGGCCTGGGTTCGGGCACAACTCTTACCACTGCGGGACTGCTGCATCTGCTACGTATTCTAGTTGCTTTTGTCCTCCGGGGTGGGTAGGGGGCGGAGGCTGATGACGTTCATGTCCTTCTAGCAAATGGGCCTATTGCTTTTCTCTGTTTTCTGCAGTGTGTGCTGCGACTACAAAGCAGGGTCCAGCACAACCCATACAGGTACAGGACTGCCACTGCTCTTGCTGCCGCTACTATACTTGCTGCTGCAGAGTGAACCCATTCAAGTATAGGCTCTGGACTCACAATTCCCAGGGCGGCCGAGTGTTTAGTCAAACAAAGCAGGGCCATGGCCTCTGCTGCCGTGAAACACAGTATCGGGGGGTTTGGAAGAGAAAACATGCAGAGTTTTCCGCACAATCTCCACATCCAGAACTCGAGAATGTCAGAAGATAACATGACACCGAGCGACCGAGCGACAACGCATTTTTTGCACCAGTAATCTGTCCATCTTCATGCACCTCCACAATTACATATTCCACCGCCTCCTGCCCTGCAAATGATGGGCGTCGTGCATGGTGGTAGTAGTAGTAGTAGTAGTAGTAGTAGTAGTAGTAGTAGTAGGAGTCGTATTCGTAGTGGTAGTAGTAGCATCAGCAGCAGCGCAGCAGTAGCATCTGCAGCATGTTGTCTGGCTATTACATCCGACATTGTAGATACGAGCGCCGTCTGCGGCTCAAAGCACAAGAAAGGCAGAATGTGCCCGTACCCCCACATCCCGGAACCCTAAAACCTCAAATTGACCTCAAACTGCACACCCCAACAAAGCAGCCTTAAACCAGCTCAGGAAAGCACAAAGTCGAACGAGCTGTCGATGTCTAAGATCTCTCGAAGATGGTTTTGTTCCACCTCCAAGCGCAAGAGCGGCAATCGCAGTCAGGGGCATACCCCATGGTCTAAATCCGTGGACCTTTCTCCCGTGCTGATCTGAGGCCTCGTCTGTGCGGAGTACTTCAGACACAAAAGTGGTGGCACCTGCCTGCTTACAACCATCCGTGCGTATAAGCGTTTCAATCTCGGTGCCTGTATAGCTCCCAAAACCAAGCCCTAAAATGCTAAGCACAGATGCCCCTACAGCCCTCAATGTGCTTGCCTTAGGAGTCTTGACCCCACTGCCTGAGCCATGAAAAAATCAGCCCAGCTGGATGCGACAAGGCAGACTCCACACCCTCTCTCTCCCGATGCATACAGCGGCAATAACATTCAACATGTATGTATTGCAGGCAGAAGTGCCTGTGTTGGTGAATGGGTATATGTAGGCATGTGTATGCGTAAGTTGTAAGCGTATATGTATAGTACATTGTACATTTGCCCGAGTGTCCCGGAGCATCGGGGTCGTTGGCTCCCGGCTTCTTTTTTCAGGTGGGTAGGTGTCAAAATTAAGGGCCCTTTTTGGATACCTTAAATATTAGGTGCCGTATTATAATAAGGATCCAAAAAGGGACCATCATTTTGACAACCACTAAACCGAACCCTGAACTCAATCCTAAAGTCGCGGGACATGACGCACCTTCAAATCATAAGGACCCTTAGGGGGGTAGGGGGCCTTAATACCTATAAAAGGACTTGACAAGGCCTATGAGAGGAAGTATCGTCCCCTTCCCCACTCCCCCCTACCCCCCTAAGGGTCCCTATCATCAAAGGCCACCGAGAAGCCTCTGGAACAAGCAAGTATTGTTAAACACGAAAACTCTGAAATTGCTTCCCCACATGTACAATGCTCCCTTGCAAAACCCACTCTATGCCCTACACGCCGGTGCCTCGGAGCCCATCACCTCGGTATCACTGGAAACTTCTTGCAACCTAGGGGCCTTAAGAAGACTAGGACGTTACACGGTGTTTCACGCTTCTTAATTAAAGGCCGCCTGGTGGCCGCAGTAACTTGAATAGGGTTTTGGAGGTGGATTTTCCTATAGTTGCGGCAAGAAGAACAGGGGATACGATTGACTAGTCCGATTCCCAAAACTAGGGCCTAGGGATGGGTCTGAGTGTCTTTGGGTTGAAGTTTTCATCTTAGGGTGTAATGCATGGGCTTTGGAGTGGCGGTGTTTAGAGTTTTAGCACTGGGGCTTTGGCGAGTAGACCTTAAGATTCTTGATAGTGGTGAGTCATGAGGGACCAGTAGCGAAGAACATAATGCAAGGGCCTTAATAATTAGAATATCGTTTTTGGGGCCCACTATTCTATAGTTATAGTAAGGAACCTCCAAATCGGTAATTATTAAGGCCTCAATGTTTGAATTCCGGTTGGGTTTGGTGTTGTGGCAGTCCTTCTGCGCGTATCCCGCATAAGAAGATATTCCCTTGAATCCCAATACAGTTACAGTATCACAATCCCCGCGATATAGTCACAGTATAGCATGACCTCAAACCCGATTCTATCCAGCAAGTTCCCGAAGACACCTCAACTAATTCCGCAACCTCCGCTGGGGTCGCTTCTGCAAGGACCCTGGTGGGGCTTTCCAAAGACTACGGACAGTACAATCCTACTGCCCTAAACCCTGGAACCCCGAAGCCGCACATCTCTAGAACCCTAGGTTCCTATAGCCCTACCTTAACCTACCAAACCCTTCTTTTTTGTAGGGTCCCTATAAATTCCATATTAGGGTTCATAATAAGAACCTACAGAAAAGTAGGGTTTTGTAGGCTAAGGTAATGCAAAAACCTTACCCCAACCATCCTAAACCTCTAATCCCAAGGCCCAGAACCCCAAAGCCCTGACAGCCCTAACTCTCTGAGCCCTAGGATCCGAAAGTCCCAAATATATGCCCCTAACTTACCCCCAAAACCCCCAAAACTCTCACCTTGCATGAGGACCTAAACCCCCAAAAAACCACATGTCCTCCGACTTCGGTGCAAGTGGCGGAGAATCCACACTTGCCCGAGTCGAAGTAGCTACAGAACTTCAGGGCGGACTTGATGCTTTCCTCGAGGGGTCTAGGTTTTCAGGGCTTCAAGGTTTAGGCATCTTTTGCGGTTTCAGGGTTCAGGGCTTTAGGCACCCTTCATGGATTTTTGGGGGGTTTTAGGTTCGGCATCATAGAAACTACTATTTCCGTTGAGTGGGTTTCGGCGTTACGGGTGAGAATGTTTCGGGCTGTGCACACCTGCAGCCTGCAATAAACCGCAGGGCGGGCGTATGGGAGTAGAATTTGCGGCGATTGGGCCGCCAAGCGACTGCTCAGCACCCCCGTGTGATTTCGCATGTCTGGGGCAAGTGGGCTGAAGGCGAATCTACAAAAGTAGCAAGCTTATAGGCGCTATCACTGAAAGGCCGCGAGGCGGAATGATGTCATGTGGGGCGGCCTTCATTTTCACGCTGACACCCCAAGCGCTGTTAACGGTTGAAAGACCTTTAAGCCCGAAGCCGAACTGTACAAGCTCCGGCCACCTAGTTCGTTTGCAGCCAGTGGCGGCCACAGTCCAAGGCCAAAGTTTACTGATCAACAACAAGCTCGGTGCATCATTGGGAAAGAAGTGTTTGCATGCCAAAGTCGCCACAATGCGGCAATGCGAAAATCAACAACAAAGCTTCACTTCTTCGCCTTGGCCTTGGCTGTTCTGCCTTTGGCCTTTGCCGTTGCTTTGGCTTTGGGAGACTTGGAAGCCTTTGGCTTTCTTGGCTCCGCCTTGCGCTTGCTGGTGAGCTCCTCGGCTGCCTGAGCAGTGGCTACAACATCCCTTTCTAAGACCTAAACCTCCATGGTCCAGGTACCGAATAAGCCTGGGCTCTCCCGAAGTCACCTGCAGAATCACTACCAACCGAAACCGGTCGAAACCCAAACATCTAATTAGTGGTGTCCTTTGGACTTTGGACCCTCAGGGTAAATAGAAGATTCCTCCACATAACAAAACTATGGTTTTGAGTATTTTGCAGCCCCGCCGAGTACACCCTAAGGCCCTGAAACAACCGAACCCGCCAGACTTCGAAACACGACAAAATTCCCAGAAGCCGCTACTGCTACAAACCGCAAAGGGAAGTATCAACGAGACTCAGCCCAACAAACCTTCAACGGTACAGCCCTGAATCAAACCAGGATGCCTTCTGGGCCATCTGGGCCGCCGCTGATCGCTGCATAAAGTCCTGCAGGTCGCACAAGGTTGCAATATCGGAAAGGTCAAGTGTACCCTTCGAAGATGCTATGCCAAAGTTTCCTTGATCGGTCGTGCCACTGGCTGCTTCGGAGACGTAGCTGGCTTCCCGCGAACGGTCGAGGGATCCACGCCCTGCAGGGCACAACCAATCGATTGACTACACCGACTAAACTCCACCTGAATCTAACAGCAACAACAGACACGACATCTCTTATGTTTATCTCCTACTTTACTCACAAACACGGCCTGTGCGGCCGCCAGCTTCTTTTGCAGGAGGTTGTGTCGCATCTCGGCCAACGCTTTCTCGGCCTCTGTTAAAGGGACACCTGGCTCTGCTCTTGGGGCATCGAATTGAGCCTGCAACTCTGCGACGTCAGCCAAGCCATCCAAGCCGGCAGTTGCTGCTGCTGTTGTGGCCACGAAGTCCGGCGGGGGACCATGAGGTGTCGAAGGAGGTTCGATCTCGCCTGGGCGCAACCCACCGCTGCCGCTGGGGTCCGTCTGCTTTCCATCAGCTACACAGTCGGCTGCACGCAAGGCGTCGGTCACATCCTTGGCACGGTCCTGGTCCTGGGCAGCGGCATCGGGCGGAGGCACAGCATCACTGCATTCGTCTCGGTCAGGGGCTGCGCCATCCGAAGCCACTGCAGCATCGGCTGGATCAGGATCGCGATGGCCTTCATCATCACGTGCGGATTGTTCACAACCGGCTTGATCATCAGCGCCATGGTCAGAAGCCTGATCAGCACGGACGGGGGCTGCGCCGTGAGGTACATCCGAAGCCACGCCGGCTTTGTCCGACAGCGCCTCACCGGCGTTGTTCCCGGGCTCCATTTTGACTGATGGCACTTTAGCTGCCAATGCCAGGTCCAGCGCCAGCAATCCGCAATCGATGTGGTTCACGAACTTCAGCACGCCGTTGTTGAAGACCTTTCTGGCGGCATCAAAATTCTCTTTGACTGCCATGAACTGCCCCAAGGTGAGCACGGGCCCCGGAATGGTTGCAAATGCCTGAGAATGGGTGGATACGCAAGTTGTGTTGGTTTTGTGTCTGTTTCGCTTGGTTGTTTTTGCTGTTGTTGTCGTCTGTAGTTTATGTTGTTGCCGCTGCATGTCGCTGTTGTTGCTTGCTGCTGCGTAGGCTGCTGTTGTTATTGTTGTTGTTGGTGGTGGTGGTGTTGTTGCTGGGCTCCGTTTGGGGACACCCTTGTTGTGCTTGTGGTTGTTGTTGTTGTTGTTGTTGTTGTTGTTGTTGTTGTTGTTGTTGTTGTTGTTGTTGTTGTTGTTGTCGTCGGGCTCCGTTTTGGGACACCCTTGTTGTGCTTGTGGTGGTTGTGACTCCTGTTGTTGATGTTGTTGTTGGGCTCCGTTTTGGGAACGCCCTTGTTGTGCCTGTGGTTGTTGTTGTTGTTGTTGTTGCTGTTGTTTCTGTTGTTGTTGGTGGCGGTGGCGGCGGGGGTGGTGGTGGTGGTGGCCGCGGTGGTGTTGTTACTGTCGCTGTTGGCGGTGTCGATTTTGGTCTTGGCATTGGTCTTGGTCTTGATGTCGGTGTGGGTGGTGTTGGTGTTGGTGCTGCTGTGTTGTTTTTGTTGTTTGTGTTTGTTGGTTTTCGTGGTGCTGCTGTCGCTGCTGCTGCTGCTGTTGGTGACCGTGCTGTTGTTGTCTTCGTTGTTGTCGTTGGCGCTGGCGCTGCCGCTGCTGCCGCCGCCGCCGCCGCTGCTGCTGCTGCTGTTGGTTTCGCCGTGGTTGCAGTTGCTATTGTACTGACCGGTTTGACACGACTCTACAGCAAAGACGATAGGCTGGGCAAGTCCGTTCAAGTGCTGCCTCAGTTGCAATGCAAACAGTGCCGCAACCCTTGTCCAGGGACTGGGTCTTGTAGAACTTCGGTGTGGCTTTCATGTATCCGGGGGCACACTGAAAGAAGAAATATCCAGGTGGCACCACGGCACCTTCACCCTTCCTCAAGAAAATGTACGCTCCCCCGGAAGCCTCAAGCTCTTCTAAACCCATGCTCACAAACTCATCAGCCACTCGGGAGATGCCGAGACCTTCCTCGCGGTTTGGGCTCGACTCCTCCGCCAGACGACAGAGAATCGCAAAAGGGATCATTCCCAAGAAGCATGCACCCTGCGTGCACATGACGACTCGAGAAATCAAGCCGTCCCCAAAGGAAGCTGCTTGCCACATCGGGCCGCAAACAACCTCCTTGACCTGAAAAATCTTCTTCATGAAATCCACATGATCCCGTGGAACTTCTCCACCATCTTCAGTCGCCAGCCTGGGCGGGAGCCGTTTAGCCGGCTAGGGTTAACTAGTGGTGCTCGGCTTTGCACTCACAACATCTCACAACCAACGCCAGGACACATCTCCAAGATTGTCGCATTGCCCGCACACAGTCGCTCCATTAGTGGGGCGATCCCAGTCCCAAACATCGCGGGATCCGCAGCAGCACGGACCATCGCAGATGTGGCCTTTTGGCCATGCTGCTTCCATGCCTCCCAAGTGTCATCGGGGTCCGCCATGTGTTCCAGCAATGCCGGGTCGAATTGCTGGGCGTCGAAGTAAAACCACATTGGCCTGCCAGCGAAAGTTTTTGAGCTGACACATGTATAGTTTTGGCATCGGAAAACAGAACGACAGCTGGCCTCGTGTAGGCGAAGGCATCCAAATCTGCCCAGGTGGATCCTGCGGCATAAGCTTTCATTGGAAAAGTTCCGACTCAACAGCTGAGTTCCATCACTCCGTCCTGGGACAACCGTACCCGCAGAGTCCAGACTGTCACTCTGGGCGACTGCATTGCATGTTTGCATGCCACAAGCGGCGGCGAAGCTGATCTCGTCGAGGTTTGACACCAGCAAGAATACATCTGACTTCTTCCCCTTTCCAAACACCGGTCGGGGCTTGCCTCGGCTTTGTATAAGCAAATTCCGGAATATGCATCACAACACTCCAGATCCCAGCTCAAACTTGCAAGACTTAAACCATCGGCAGGGTCTAATTCAAAAACCTTATGCATCCACGCTGCTGGGGCTACATATCGAGGCTTCCATGGGGGTCGCCTTGGCCTTGGCGCGACTCCCACGGGGCTTGGAACCTTAGATAGCAGCATCGCAAGTCCATCGCTGATATTGGCTGTGGTTGCATATCAAAGGCACCCTCGTCGTTCTGCGTTGCCGCCTGCAACAACAAGCATTCTCACATTAGCTGCTACGTGAACCCAGCTCAAAGGCCTCGCCATCCTCACCGTTCTCAGCTTCCTCGCCAGAGTCATCCTCCGCCCCCGACTCCGACTCTTTGTCGGAGGCCTCCTCGTCATCATCGTCACTGTCGTCCCGCTGGGGCTTCTGCCCCTCCTCAGTCGGTTCATCTTGGACCTCTTGCTCCGCCTCGGCCGCGCCTGCGGCCCTGGCCGTCTCGAGACACTTGAGGGTGTCCTTCGCCTTCTTCGCCCGGATTTGGGCCAGACGAACTTCCTTAGCCTTCTCACGCTCTGCTGAAGCCACCAGCTCAGTAGTGGACTTGGTCAGGAGGTTCAAGGCCTTCTGAACCGCCTGCTCTGCTGAGTTGAGCACCTTCTCGAACTCAGCGATCATGGCCTTTGTCGGGTCGTTGAGTGCCTTCAACTTGCTGCTCGATAGCGGCGATAGCTTGTCCCTGCTACCGGAGGGATCGAAAGCCGCGGCAGCGGACTCAGCAGGAAAGCTGCAGTCTTTCTTATCCGGCAGCAGCGCATAGAGCCTTTCCAGGCGCATCTTCACGATACCGGCGAGCTCGTGGCACTGATCGAAGTCATTGGCTGTCTCCACAGCCAAGGTGACCTCGGCATTGA